TTTGAAAGCAGCAGAGACAAAGTTGCAGCAAACTCTGCAGCATGAACGGCAGGTGTGGACGAAAGAAAGATCCCACCTCATGACCACAGTTGCATCACTTCAGGAGGCTTTAAATAAGAAGGATGAAGACAATAAAATTGCTGCACAGAGGCTCATGGAAAGAATGGCCACTGTAGAACAACAGATGGAAAGCTTGGAGAGTGGAAAGAAGAAGAAGAAGAAGTCTAAGAAAAGATGTGTAAACTGTCCGATCTGCTAATGGAAACACATCCATCCATCAGCATATTTAGGCTACAATCTCACTCACACCTAGAGAATCTTAACACCTGGGTTTTGTCCGGGAATGCCGGTTTTTCCCACAATAAAAAAATATGAGATTCTAAATTGCCCTTAGTGTGTGTGAAGACTTTCTACAGACTCTTCAACATTAGGCCCAATGACTCGAAGCCTTAATCTCATCTATCCATCCATCCATCATCTTTACTGCTTCTTCCTTTTCAGGTCACGGGTGTAACTGGTGTGCATGTTCAGCCATCAATGTGCGAGAGACAGGGGACACCCTGGACAGGTTGCAAGTCGTCACATGTCCTTCACAGGGACACATAGAGAGAAATGACACAAACAACCATTCACACTCACTCACAGCTTGTGAATCTTGAGAGCTGGGATTACTCGGGGAACTCCGTTTTTTCCCACCAAAAAAACCCAAGATTCTAAATAGCCCTTAGTGTGTGTGTATGTGTGTGAAAAGATTTTCTGCTGAGTCTAAGATCAATGACTCTTCAACATTAGATCTTACGACTGCAATCCTTAATCTTAAAAAAAAAAAAAAAAAAAAAAAAAAACCTCCATGAGACGATTGTCTGTCCTGTCCAGTCTGTCTGCACCTCCCCGTGTTTTTCTTCTCCTCAGTGTTTCTCCTTATATTCAGGTCTCACGTGTTTCCAGTTTTAATGAGAGTTAAAAATTCAAAATAACAAGAAAATAAACAAATCATATATATATATATATATATATATTAGCATATATATGCATATATATATATTAGCATATATATGCATTGATATATATGCATATATATTAGCATATATATATATATATATATATATATTAGCATATATACATATATATTTAAATATATTAGCATATATATATATAAGATATAAATATACATATACATATATATA